AGGCTCCCATTTAAGATATGCCAACAGTGAAGCAGGTTGTAAGCTGTGGAAATAAAATAGATACATTTGCTGTTATTATTATATTTTAAATTAATTAAGCGGGGGCAGGAGTGGAGACCTCTTAATTAAAAGCGGGAACTGTTGTGTGGAACCCAGCTGATGAAGCTCCCACGTCCCCAGATCATTTGACAGTTTTTAGTGTCCTCCTTGCGCCTTAGGAAAAGGGGTTTGGGGCTCGGTTTTTTTTGGTTGTTTGTTTATTGTTCCATCTTTTCTGTTCCTTTCCAGTTTTCCTTACGCAATTTCTCCAGTCTGCCCCCTTTGTCTCAACATCTCTAAATCAGGCTATGCGGCCTCACGTGGCCTCAGTAAATGAACTCAGCAGCGTTTGAGATCTTGAAGAATCCTTTAAAGAAATAGGCAACATAGCTTTGAGGGGAAAACTGTGGGATGTTTACAATGTGCCTCTTTTTTTGCAGCATCCACATCATCACATCAATGGCATCAAAATGGCAGTCTGTAGTCCCCACCCATTTAATCCAATTTATTTATTTAAAATATAGCATTATTTCTCAAAAACAAAATCGAAAGAGGTTTACAACAACCATACGACATGAAATATTATTATTTTTTTAAAAAAACCATGTAAAAATAAATAAAAATAAGAGACCACCCACTAACTGGCTACCCATTTAGATGGGCTACCCAGGTGGATGGGGTAAAATAAGAAAGTTGTTGTTGTCCCTATATTCATTGGAGTCATGTTGGAGGGCATGCACGCTCAGAAATGTCCAAGAGGTTTTCCGCTTGCCCTGTGCAGACCCTCAGACTTGGGTCTGAGCAGTTTTCCCTTTGCCCTGTCGCTTTTCCTCAGAAAACCTGCTTTTTAGTGATAAATCGGAACAAATGGGAATCTGCTGAAAACTCAGTTGCTGTTTGCTCTGATTCAGTGCTAAACCATGAGTTTTCCCCGGGTGAAAGCGGTGAAGCAAACAGAAGTGTAGGTAAGCCCTAAGTGCCAAGGTTTTTAAAAGTTATTTTTTCTGGTCTGGAGTTTGAGTCAACCATGTGAGCCCCCACCTGGAGTCTGAAGCTGTCCAAACAGACAGGTTTACCACCTCTGTTGGAACAAGGTCAAGAGACATTTCTTGAAAGCATATTAGAGTGATTGCCACCCGGAGCACATTGATGTCAGCACATGAAAGCTAAAGAGGAGTCGTGTTTTCAGAGACCTAAATAATGCCTGGAGAGCAACAGTCAGCGATGCCCTTGACTCTTCCTCCTGCACCCACCAGGAAGGATTTGCTTGTTTTCAAAAATCACCAGTGACAAAGTTGCCTGATTAGACTAATTGTCCCATCTCTCTCGGCTCAGGGAAAGGAAGGTGGCATGATGAGGGCCATTAGCAATGCACCTCATCAAGATTGGGTAATTTTGCCAGTCACTTGTCTGGGAATGGAGCAGAGACAAGAAAGCATTGCTTCTACTTCTGTTGCCATACGCTGCTTTTCAGTGTGAGAAAGTCTTCACTTCTGATGTGGGGGTGGGTGGGCAGGGGATATACGAGTAATGAAGTGCAAGAAAAGTTTAAACTCCATGTAATTGCTCACTGTTTCTGTAAAATCTGTGGCTGTTGAAGTGTGTGTGTGTGTGTGTGTGTGTGTGTGTGTGTGGATATGGGAAGCGGATGAAGGGAAATGGAATTAGTATGAAAAATGCTTCCATCACATCACTATGGTCTGTGCATTCTGATGTGAACGGGCCACAAGTTCCATTTCCAGCCCCTAAACTCCTAAGAGAAATGGCCACTCTAAGGAAATTGTAAGGGAATTTGGCAAACAGGGTTACGGTTGCCAGTTTGCTCAATGAAACAGAGAGTGTGTGGAGTCTTGCATGCCCTGATCTGTAGGTCATAAGTCACAGATAGGGAGCCAACGTTGTGGACTCCATCCAGGTCACCAAGACCAATGATCTAATATTATCAAAACATCCAGAAGGCTGCAGGCTCCTCATCCCTAATCTAAACAGTCATTGCCACAGTAATAGGCTCTTGAACAGCCACAAACGAAAGGACCTCACCTTGACAACAGACAGCCCACATCATCAGCAGAGCACATAATCTGTATGTGGGAAAGCCTTGGGTTCAATCCCCAGCAGCCCTAAATTAGATCTTATTCCTAGTTGATTAGCATCATCATCATCATCATCATCATCATCATCATCATATAAAAATAAAAAAACCTAAGTGGGAGGTAGGGATGTCAAAGAATTATGACAGAAACAGAAGCAGAAGATGTGGGTGTTCGCTTATTTTTCCCAAGTCTGGAATGGAAATCAATTTAGAGAATGCAATCTGTGTTCACTGTTTTTGTTGCTTTTGGTTTGCAAATGATACCTTATTATTTATATCATGGCTCCACCCCGCCCTGCCCTGCCATCACATTTGCACTGTGTTTCCTTTGCATTGAAATGAGCTGGTTGGAAGGAGATGACAATGTAATTGATTATGTCAATAGTGTAAGTTAAGTAATTTTGCTGCAATGGGCAAATGAGATAAATGACATAGTAGCATTTGGGGGTGGGAAGTTCAACCAAGTAGAAGAGTTGCAAAAGACCCACCCCACCCCTCTCTGCCTGAAAGCCTGGAAAGCCAGTGCAAGTCAGAATATTGCAAGCTTCCCCAACCTGGTGCCCTCTAGATATTTTGGAGTTCCATTCCCATCCATCCCAGATAGCACAGCCAAGATCATATAGCCATGCTGGGTGGGGTTGATGGGAACTGGAGGACCCAGGTTGGGGAAGCTGGAACAGATAGTTCAATTCCCTCCCAGCATTTTCATCTGCCCATGTAAAAAGTAGTAACCAATTCTTGCCTCCCAATCAGGGCCACGACAGTGGGGAGCCCCTCCCATGCCCGTCTCTTAGCCATTCTGGTTGTGAGCCCAGCAGGGCAATTTAAGGGTGCAAAGGGGGTAACTGATCACCATGAGACAAATAATCTTATGCACCCTAAGAACCACCCTCAGACAAGTATGCAAGTAAAACTTCATCTCATGATGTACTAGAGTCGTCCTGGATTATTTTTTTTAGCTGAATGAATACAAATTATCTGGGAAGCAAAACAGCTGCATAACATTCTGGAAAGAAATGTAATGTTTGCTTGTGCCTCATTCAGAAGGTCATCACCTCTCAAATGGCGGATTAAGTCACAGGTTGAATTGAGCTCACTTTCATTAAGCTGCACGTGTCTTATTTATTTAAAGGTGGCTCTTAGGATGACTTGTTTCTCATCTTGGATGAGTGCCTGGCCTTCCTTAAAACTAATTAGCAACCTATCTCTGCTTATCTAAAAGGGAGAGACTCCATGATTTGCACAGCCCCTGGTAGCTGGCCTGATTTTCCTTGGGGAAAGGGTCATAGCACAGTGTGGGGGGGATTGCTGTGCAAATAGAAGCCTCCAGGTTCAGTTCCTGGCATCTCTAGACAGAGCTGGAACGGAGCCCTGCCTGAAGCCTCACAGAGCCCACTACCAGTCAGGGTGGACATAGGGCTGGGCAATATCTGGTTTTAAACATTGTGATGCATCACCAGCTAAGCATTGTGATATGCCAATATATCACAATGTCTGAAATAAGGATTGAGCTGTGAGGAGGCAATGGCTGGCTTCACGGTTTTTCCCGCATTGTGATTTTTGTGTAGCGCGCGCACACACACACACACACACACACACACACACAATGATTCATGATATATTGCCAGGTCAAAAATTATGAAACCAATATCACAGTATGGACTTCAAACTAGATTTGGACAATATATTGATATATCACCCAGCCCTGGTGGACAGTATTGAGCTAGATGGACCAGTGGTCTGACTCAGGTTAAGGCAGTTTCCTGTACTCCCATCTGAGTAGAAGGTCATAGCTCAGTCTTAGAGCAAGGGTTTTGCGTCCTCCAGGACCAATAAAATGATCCAAACACGTTCAATAACGAGGTGCAGCAGCATGGCAGGAAAGGCAGGCAGTAGGAAGGGCAGCCAGCATATTCAATATTTAAAACACTGTGGCTGGGCATCTAGGAGTGTTCATAGCATAGTTGCATGCATGATGACATGAAAGTGGTTCTCAGTGGGTTCTGTGCTGACTGATCCTTGGGAACCACGTTTGGGTGCCACCAGGCTATATTCCTTGCCCACCTAGACCAGACTAGGTCTCTGTGTGGCTGTCCAGGGTCTCAGGTCCCTCCCCTTCCCTGCTGCCTGATACTTTAAAATTGTTCTAGCTGGGAATTGAACCAGAGACTTACTGCATGCAGAGCCTGTGCTCTCCTGCTCAGCCATGGGGACTCCCCCACTGCAGCTTTGATTTCTTTATTTCCTTTCTCTTGGCACTTCAGCAGATTTCTCATAGCACCCGGTTTGGGAACTACAAACCTAGGGGCTCCCTAGGGGTGAGTGAATCCACAAGTTTAAGTTTCTCCCAGTTTCCCATTTTATTCCAATCTTAATTTTTCACAGTAATTTGCGGTTTCTTTTTAAAATCCCTGTGAAAATTCACCAGCAATTTTAGAGCAAATTTCTCTTCATATAAGTATTTTGTATGCAATTTTGACTAACGTGCCATTTTTATTTTGCAAAGCCCTCTCCCCGATTTCTGCTTGCTGATGTATTCTTACACACATTTTTGTATCCATAGTTTGGCTAGAGAGCTGCAGCACCAAAATTCAGAGAAGTGTGAATTTCAGATAATTGTGTTTTTGTTCCCTTATTGGTTCAAGAAATGTGAATTAGGCCATTTTTCACCCAGATGCAAAGGGATGAATTTCTCCTGCAGTTCTCATGTGCCACCCAGTGCAATTCTGAGCCTCAACTAGGTTGTTAAGTACTAGTGTGAAACCCTCCCCCAACTAATCTGTCTTCTCTCCCCTTGCTTCTCTTCCTCTCTCTCTCTCTCTCTCTCTCTCTCTCTCTCTCTCCCCCTCTCTCTCTTTCTGTGTTTCAGATTATGCTTGGCCCTTACCTAAACAACTGTGTCCAATCTGGATTTCCTTAGATGTCCTCTTTTCTACTGCCTCTATCATGCACCTCTGCGCCATCTCTCTTGACCGCTATGTTGCGATCCGTAACCCCATCGAGCACAGCCGGTTTAATTCTCGCACCAAGGCAATAATGAAAATTGCTGCTGTTTGGACCATCTCTATAGGTAAGTCACCCTCCCTTGTTGCCAGTTATAACCTTGTAAATACTGGCATGGTTTTCTTTTTCCAGCCTCTATTTACTTTGAAAAAACTTCCATAAATTTCAGTTAATATGGGCTGCAATGACTGATGATAATGGACTGTTGCTGCGAACAATAAAGCTTTCTTTTTAATTGGCTGGCAGAGTTTATTAAGCATTATACTTCACCTTCCAATATCAATTATGATACCCATATGGGCAAGCCAATCAATATCTGAAGCTGGCCAAAACCCAGCCTATTGGACAAGGGTTGTGTGAACAGCATAGATACATCTGCAGCAAAGAGTTGTTGGGCATGTGCAGGTGTGTAATCTTCTGCACAAACACTTAAACATGTTACCTTTTAAGATGCCAGCAACCCCTCTGGGTTTTATTTCTAAGTGATCAGTTCCCCTGAAGCCTGAAGTAGTGCCATCCACTGAACCTCCTCAGCATTCTGCCAACTGAAATGTTGCTTGTCCTTCGTGCCTTTCACATCCTGCATCTCCCACCAAACAACTGTGCATTTTGTAAGTGAGAGAGTAGCATGGAAAGTGGTGAATGTTGAGAAGGTCTTGGCCCACTTGGTGGGTGGGTTCCTAGGGATGTTAAGAAAGCAGAAATATCCATTCCAACCTGCATTCATCACCACCAGTGCTGCTTCCATTCCACTGCACTTTGGTTCCCACCAAGTGCTCAGTTGTTCACCCTGCAGGTGATGCAAGTGATGTGAGTTACTTAACTTGCATAACTCTTTATGAAGCTTACATTCAATGTAAAGGAAATGACAAAACAATGTGGTGGTGACACATTAACTGCTTGTTGTTTGCAGACTTAAAAACAATATGAACAAATAGTGATCATATTCACTTGACTGGTTTTCCATTGCTTACCAAAGACAAACACATGAATGGCAGCAATTTTTGCTTCCTTTCCTGTTTTTGGTGGAATACTCTGACATCCCTAGCTCTGACCCAGGTCAGGTTTCTAGGATGGGCCCAGGACATTTTACTAGCTGAGACAGAGCAGCAAATGTAGTGCCCCCCACCCAAGTCAAAGGGTTGTCTTCAATGTTAGTCCTACTCAGCGTAGAACCACTGGAACCAAAGGACATGACAAACTCAGTAAATTCAATTAGTCTACTTTGAGTAGAACTTGGGTAGAACCCAAGACTGGTAAGTGTTTTTGTCACCTGAGATGCAGGGGTATCTGACATTTGTAGAACATTAGGCATGAGTTGGTTCCTCGAAAGTCACACTGTCCAACTTCTGCAGATCAAAAACTGGGATGTCCTTCTTCCTGGATGTGCTCCCTGGTGAGTCACGTGGTCTATGCTGTGCTCTCTCCCCCCCCCATGTTTTTTTTAGGGCAAAATCTTAGTATATGCCATACCAGCCTTGCTCTTTAAAAGCCAGAGAAGTGTCACTGATGTTTTAGTCAGTGTAGATGTAACACAGATATCCAAAGGTTAGCCCTGCCAAGTTAGCATCCTTCTCCACCCCCACCCACAATTTGATACCATATACTCTGCTCACAAAGGAGCCAGGAATTAAGCCGGATGATGCAATAGCTTCAGCCACTGCTTAATGCAATCTTGGGTTGTGGGAAAGCTTTTCAGGGGAGGGTTGCCTGGAGCAAGTTTTTGAACGTTGTGGACAAGATATGTGATCCTTTCCTCTGTTTCTTTTGTAGCTGATTAAAATAACAATTTAAGTTGGTGGGTATGGAATGTTTTGGGTGGGCAGTCAGTTCAAGATGGCTGGCCATCCTCTCCCTGTACTTGTGGAGCCATCTGGTGGGCAAGTGGGCTAACCTTGTTTCTCCCAGAGCTCTATCTGTTTAGCCAGTGCTTGCAAGAATGTGTATAAATAAGGGAAATGAAATAGAAACATTAGTATATTGGGAGAAATGTCCACTAAAATGCTGGCAACTTTTAAAATGCAAACTGATGTCTAATATCCGCTAGGAATGAAAGAAACTGACGCAGGGAGAGTTGCTCATCCCTATTGTTAAATGAAATTATCATTAGCCATTCCAAGCATATAAGTGGGGTTATAAAATGGGTTATAAATCTAAACTGAAATAACGTATTTTGCTGCTCCTGTTGTTGTTTTTGGCCTTCCCTTTCTGAATGGATCTCTTCAGGGATCTCGTTGCCCATCCCAGTCATCGGCCTGCAAGATGATTCCCGGGTGTTTGTGAATGGAAGCTGCGTCCTCAATGATGAGAACTTTGTCCTCATTGGTTCCTTTGTGGCGTTCTTCATCCCGCTCATCATCATGGTGTTTGCCTACTGCCTGACCATCCAAGTGCTGCAGAAACAAGCATCTGTGTTCCTGTACGGGGAGGCACCCAAGCAGAGGAGGAGCAGCATGAGCTGTCTGAAGAAGGAGAACAACACGGAGAACCTCTCCATGCTCCAGAACCATGAGGCCGCATCCCACTTGAACTCTCCTGTCAACAAGGAAGGGGTGCTGTTCCGGAAAGGCACCATGCAGTCCATCAACAATGAGCGGAGGGCATCCAAGGTCCTGGGGATTGTCTTCTTTCTGTTCCTCATCATGTGGTGCCCCTTTTTCATCACCAACATCATGTCTGTCCTCTGCAAAGAAGCCTGTGATGAGGCTCTGCTGGGGGAGCTCCTGGACGTCTTTGTTTGGGTGGGCTACATCTGCTCTGGGGTCAACCCCCTGGTATACACACTCTTCAACAAAATCTACCGCAGGGCTTTCTCTAACTACATCCGCTGTCGTTACAACAATGGCAAAAAGTCAGCGCAGCGGCACAACCAGTGTCCAAACGTCTCGACAACAGCTTTATACGGGAAAGACCTCAATTTGAACAGTTACCGCAATGGGAATGAACTCAACAGCATGGAGATGGACGAGACGGAGGATGCTTTGGAAATGCATGTAGGAACCTCAGAGCTCTCAATAAACAACTGCAGTGGCAAGAAAACGAGTAGTGTGTAAGACTGTTCAAGGACACACCTATGCTCCGGACTTTCGTTGTGGCTCAACTACAGACAATGTATGTGTTAATCAAAGAATGATGTAAATAATGCATTCTGAACAAAGCAGTCTCTCCTTTTTTTAAATTTGAACTTTCACATTTGTAACTCATTGCTTTCCATCATTCCTAAAACAGAATCTGTACTTACTGTTAAAAGCAGAGGAGGCAGAGCCTCTATAGGAACAGTGGGTACCAGACCCAAAGTGGCATTTGTTATTTTGCTTCTGAAATGTTGATTTTTCTCCCCTTGCTGCATGAACAAAAGTGCTGACTATTAATCTCAGGTGGTATTTTTTTGAGTCCTCAATGGTCCATTATGAGTAGTCACAAATCAAATAAAGGGACATGGGCTTGGATAGTTCAACGTTTCTTGTGCTAGCATTGATAGCAAACCCTGGATAAATGCATGTTGTGCTTGGTTGTGGTGGATGAGTTGATGAAAATGACTACCTGGATGAATGACAGCTGTGGGAAAAGATTAATCCCAGGCTAAGGGATCATTAGAAAAGGGATCAAAACAAACCTGTCAATACCACCATGCCTTTAAAGAAATCATGTTTCCACGTCTTCCTTTTATTTTTTAAAGGATCTTTGTAGAACTGGAAATGGTGCAGAAAAAAGTAACTATAGGGATCAAAGGCCTGGGACAACTCCCCTGTGAATAAAAGCTACATTATATTTGCAACTTTTTAATTTGAAAAAGAAGTTGAATAAAGGTGGCATGTTAGTGGTGTATATGATATTGCATGGTGTTGAGAAAGTGGACAAAGGGTTTCCCCCACATCCCCCCTCTCAAAATACTAGAACCTAATGGGGCCATGCAATTGAAGATTCAGGAGAGATAAAAAGGAGAATTGTACCACGCAGTGCACAGTCAGAATATGGGATTTGTTTCCATAAAGTGTGACAATGGCCACCAATTTAGATTGGATTAGACACATTCTGCAACGGCTACTTGTAAGGGTGGCTGGATTTTATCTCCAGGATCAGAGATATCAGGCTTCTGAATCCCACTTCCTTAGGAACCACAGTATGAGAGGGCTTGTCTCTTCCTTGTGGGCTTCCCATAGACACCTGGTAAGCCATCGTGGGCAACTGGATGTTGGACTAGGAAGCAGGGCTCTTCCTATGTTCCTTTGTTATGAGGAGCAGAATAAAATGCTCTAACCGGGCAAGATTTTTAAAAGCCTGCCAGTGAGAACCTATCAACAGGGCTGGATGTTTGTGTTGCAATTTTGGTTCATGACATTTCCTAAAGAAATGTGCCTCCTCTTAAGTAGGAAGGGAAGTGACCAAAGTGCTCCCTCCAAAGTGCTATTTTGTTTGAACATTCTCTCTAGCCCTTTCCCAACACCCTAGAAGGCAATGCTTTTAAAAGTCTAATCAGGTGTGAGGAAGGGGAAGGAGAGAGAATGCACAATTAGCTTGCTCTTCCTGTTCCCCATTGTTCTCCAAAATAGATCTTGCACCGGGAAGCAAAGATTCAGGCTGGCACCATACCTGGGATGGTGGACTTGCAGGTTGACTGTAATTCATGCATCCCCCAGAAATGTGGTGGAACAGAGAGTGAGACAGACAAGATGGCAGAGAGTGAGAGAACTACCGTATTTTTCGCTCTATAACACGCACCTGACCATAACACGCACATTGTTTTTAGAGGAGGAAAACAAGGGAAAAAACATTCTGAATGAAACAGTGGATGTATCATTTTTGTGCTTCATGCTGTGGCCACAGATATGTGATCTGATGGTGAATTTGGGGTGACCCAATGCAAAAATCCTGAGAATTCCTGTGGATCCATGCTTTGTAACCACGTTTTTGCACCATTGTGGCCCCAGGCAACAGTGGGTGCGTGATTTTTTGGGTGCAGGCTGTAGCCATGGACATGCTATGTGATCTGATGGTGAATTTGGGGTGACCCAATGCAAAGATCCTGAGGATCCATGTGGATCCATGCTTTTTAACCACGTTTTTGCACCATTGCAGCCCCAGGCAACAGTGGGTGCATGCTTTTTTTGGTGCAGGCTGTAGCCATGGACATGCTATGTGATCTGATGGTGAATTTGGGGTGACCCAATGCAAAGATCCTGAGGATCCATGTTGATCTATGCTTTGTAACCACATTTTAAGTGGGGAGCGAAGGAAAAACAAAGAAGGGACATGAGAGGGGTGTGCAGAGAAGCAGCTGGCTAAGAATGCTGGAGAGGGATTTAAAGGGTGGGAGGAAAGAAAGGCAAAAGTTCCCCCCCCCCAAGCCAGCCATCTCTCTCTCTCTCTCTCTCTCTCTCTCTCTCTCTCCCTCCCTCCCTCCTCCCTCCCCTCCCCCTCTCCCTCCCCCCTCTCCCTCTCCCTCCCCCCCTCTCTCCCTCTCCCCCAGCAGCACCGGAGCACAGAGAGGAATTAGAAAGAACGACACTCTGCTTGCCTGGAGGGGAGGGGCTTTCCCTGCTCTTTGTTCCGTTTGAGCAAACACAGCAACGAAACAGAGGAGGGTGGGCAGTAAGACCCTGAGGCAGAATGCAGGAAAGCTGCCACTTCCTCTTTTCAGGTTTCCCTTCTCCGTGACTCGCGATTTGACTTTTGCTTGATTTTTTGGCTCCAGGGACCACACATTCGCTCTATAACACGCACAGACATTTCCCCTTCCTTTTTAGGAGAAAAAATCTGCGTGTTATAGAGGGAAAAATACGGTACATAGTCCTGCAGACTTCACTCACTTTGGTCCATGGCTCTGCCTAGTTGACTTTCTATAACCCAGCAGCCCTTCATAGGAAAAGGTTCTCCATTTCTACCTTACACCTTGTCCATAGGGAGATGCACAAGATCAAATATGGAGAAAAGTGTTAAAAAGGAAACTTGAGTTGCTGGAATGGAAGCCACTGTACTTTCACCCAACCGGTGAACTATAGTCTACCTATGGAGTGCAAATGGAAAAAGGAATTCCCACCCCTAGGTGCCTTCTGTAACAAATCTGGTGCAGGAAGGAAACTGTATCCTCACCCTCTGTGACCTTCAAGAGAACCAGACCCGAGGATTGTTCCTTGTTGTAAGTCCAATGAAATTTTGGGATTCCATTGAAACTTTTGCTGATGACTCGCACCAATGGCTTGGTGCTCCTCTGTACATTAATTTTTTTCCATGTAGCTAACTTGCTTAGAATCATTTCTCCCAAAATACTGTAGGTAACCTCACCCTCTGGAGATTTCTGATGAAAGTTACTGCTTTGAATGAGTTTCCCCAAGCAATTTTCTTGGGCTAGGCAGGGTTTGCAGGAACATGGAGTTCAGGTCTCTTGAAAAGATGTAGTTAGTTGATCAAAACATTATGGTGCTTGAAGCAATCCCCCATTTTGCCCCAGTGTACTAAGAGAAACTACCTAAAGGAAAGAAGTTGCATGTAAGTGGACTGCTGTGTATAACAGACAAGGTAACATCATTCAGCAAAGCACCACAACTCAAAGGAGACAAAGGGATATTTTTCTTTTATTCACAAAAAGCTTTTACCAGCACAAGTACAACAGAATGGCAGCTTCTTATTGTATTGGAGTGGCGTAGATTCTGAGTGTGCACATTAAAAACACATAACTTGGTAGGAGGGCAGATTTAAGTATCTAAACAACCTCCAGATTTTTTAAAAATAGCTAGTTGCTAAATATCATGTGCCTGCAAAGGCTTGTAGGTATGTTGATGATTTAGGGTCAGTGCGAGATTCTGAGAAGTTCAGTCTTCTGTGCCTTGGTATCTGGTGCTGTTTCTCAATGAGCAACAACCAAATAAACAGCGCAAAGCATCTCTATAGAAACATGTTTCTTTGTATAATATAGATCAGGTGTAGGGAACTTCTGTGGCACACCAGATGTTGCTGGAGCACTCCTAGGAATGTAAGAAGACATCATTATCCATTGATTATCATTATCCATTCCGTCCTGTATTCATCACATGAAGTTTGTCTTCCACTGAAAACTCCATTATTTGTCTCACACTGTCTGCTATGGCAAAGTGGTAACCTACACAATTTATGTAGTTGTTGTTACATTATGTATTACATTGGGAGGCTTTAAAAGAGGATTAGAGAAATCCGTGTTACAGCTATGCACTACCTCCACAGTCACAGAAAGTAATGCTTACGAGTACTGGGTTGGCTGGAAGCCACAGAAGGGGAGAGTGCTGTTGTGCGCATGTTGTGCACCCTGATTTCCCACAGGCATCTGGTGGGCCACCTTGAGAGCAGGTTACTAGGCCTGAGGGGCCATTGACCTGATACTGCAGACTGTTCATATTCCACCCCATCAATTTCAGTACAAAGGAGGTGCATTGCAAATGAAGAGGAGTCACATAATCAATTACATATTGCTTGAGGCTGTTGAATGCAGCAGCCACAGCAAATAGTGATCACATACGCTGGGTTGATTTCTGTTCTGGACATGGGGCAAAGAAAGCAATTTCCCCTCCCATTTCTGTTTTTGTTGGAATTCTCCGATATTCCTAAGTACAACTCCAATCAACCCCAGAAAGCATGGCCAACGGCCATGGACCTTGGGAGTTTTAGTTCAGCACCATCAGAAGGGCTGGAGGTTCTGCACACCTGATATAGAAGATTCACAAAATTACTGTATTTTTCCATGTATAAGGCTAGGTTTTTTTCCTTTTTAAAAATGTCAAAAATTTGGGGGCATCTAATACATGGATAGGGACGCGGGTGGTGCTGTGGGTTAAACCACAGAGCCTAGGACTTGCCGATCAGACCACAACCCCAGAGTCGGTCATGACTGACCTAATGGTCAGGGGTCCTTTAATACATGGATAGTAAAATACACATTTTTTTCTTAAATCAGAGTCCCCCAAAATTGGGGGCATCTTATAGACGGAAAAATACAGTAATCATTCCTTGGCACAAAATTTAGATTACCTTGATGGCAGTCTTTAGTTGATTGCTTTATTTATACTTAGCCTCTCTCATGTAGATAATAATATTTCAGTCTAGTTCTTAGGACCTGGTTGAAGCCCAATTTTTTTTTATAAACTGAGGATTCCTTGATGGGTAGATTTATCTAATAATCTATACAGCTCATCATATACAACAACAACAACAACAACAACAGTTATTGGTATTAACTGCCAATGCAGTTCTGTCTAAAGCACCACGTTCATTGCTAAGTGTTTGCCACCTTCTTTCAAGCTCTTCAGACTCCTCCTTGCATCTTTCTAGCAGAAGTTACCAAAGAGGCAGCATTGCTTCCTCTTGGCTGTGTTAAGAAGATTATCATTCCAGCATCACTGAAGGCAAGGTTTTTGCAGGTGAGTAGTCCTCAGTGAGGGATGTGGGTGGCACTGTGGGTTAAACCCCAGAGCCTAGGACTTGCTGATCAGAAGGTTGGCAGTTCGAATCCCCACAACGGGGTGAGCTCCTGTTGCTCAGTCCCTGCTCCTGCCAACCTAGCAGTTCGAAAGCACGTCAAAGTGCAAGTAGATAAATAGGTGTGTGAAGGTAAACGGTGTTTCCATGTGCTGCTCTGGTTCGCCAGAAGCGGCTTAGTCATGCTGGCCACATGACCTGGAAGCTGTACGCCGTCTCCCTCGGCCAATAAGGCGAGATGAGCGCCGCAACCCCAGAGTCGGCCACAACTGGACCTAACGGTCAGCGGTCCCTTTACCCCTTTAGTCCTCAGTGAACACTACAGAGAACACTAGAGAAAGCAGTACAGTCATAGGCTGCATGTGATGTTTGGTTAAAGA